AGGAGAGTACTGGGGGAGGGGAATAAGGATGCTATCCAAAATGTTTGGAGGTTTTGATGTTCCACTGCTTTTCCAATCTAACTGGAAGTGTTTCAGAAGTCTTAGTTCTACTGCAAGCGGTCAAATGTGAGAGTCAATCAATTGGTATAGAGCTTGAAGGGACCTCAGAGGTCTTCTAGTCCAACTTCCTACTCAGGCAGGAGACCCTATCTCATTTCAGACAAGTGGTTGTCTAGTCTATTCTTTAAAAAAACAACAGCAAGCTGTTTTTAACAGCAAGCTGTTCCACTGGATAATTGTCCTCACTGTTAGGGAGTTTCTCCTTAATCCCAGGTTGCTTCTCTCCTTGATTAGTTTCCATCCATTGTTTCTTCTCCTTCCCTCTGGTGCTTTGAAAAATAAGTTAACCCCCTCCTCTTTGTGGCAACTTCTCAAATACTGGAAGACTCCTATCATGTTCTTTACTCTAGACTAGCTAAACCCAAATCCTCCAACAGTTCATCATATGTTTTTGTCTCCAGACTTTTAATCATCTTAGCTGGTCAGCTTTGCACTTTTTCCAATGTGCAAACACAAAGTTCAAACACGGGTAGACAAGTATTACGGGGGGTGAAACTCTGAAACTGACTCCGAGACATTTCAATCTGAATTTTCATTTAGAGAGATCTTTTTAGATTAGTACGGAAATGGGACAGATTTATAGAGGGACACCTGAGACAGTAGCATGGATCAAACCTGGACTAATTCAAATGTGTTTAGTTAATGCATGCATAGTCAGGATCTGGAGTTGCAAAAACAAATGTTAATTTGCACTTTAAGAATTGCCGGATGATAGGACAAGATGGATAATTGTGCTTTATATTCTCTTTTTGCAGTTCTGGCCTTGAGGGGATTGATAAATAAGGTGGAGAACAAAATATTTGCTACCAATGGGAAGAGCGTTGGCTTTGACTCAATAATCCAAGCATGCCAGCTTTCAGGAGGCTCCGTTGCAAAACCCATGAACGAAAAGGAGAACAATGCTATTTTGCAAATTGTGAAGGAGCAAAATCAATATACCTACTTGGGAATTAAGGAGAGTTCAGTGCCAGGAGCCTTTGAGTATTTCGATGAAACCCCTGTGAATTATACCAACTGGCGTCGATATGAACCAAATGGAAAAGGGGTGGAAAATTGCGTTGAGATGCAAACTGACGGAAGTTGGAATGACAAAAAATGCAACCAGTATCGTCTCATTATCTGTGAATTTTAAAATTTCCTGTTTTAACATCTAAACCAGTGGAATTGGTGTGGCTTCTGGGAACTGTAGTCCTCTGAACAGATTCGTTGTAAAATCTTCATCAGCCTTCAGTCTTCTACAATTCCCAATATTCCAAAGCATGAGAATCAAATCATGAGGATCAGGGTTTTGATCATGACATGGTGGCTACAATCAAGCATTTCCAATTTCTGGATGCTTAAAAGAAATTAAAATATTGATTTACAGATGACTAGGGCTTATTGATTGACTGGTTTTTGTTGCCAATTATTGGGGGTTATTGCTTTTTATGGTTTTTATATGAATTTTTTTATCTTTGTAAGCTGTCCAGAATCATTGAGAGTGAGTTGAGTGGCCGTATAATTTTTAAAAAAAAAAAAAAAAAATCAAGAACATTCTGGAAAAAGGCAATGGAAAAGGCAATTTCAGTATTGCTGTCAAGAAAACTAAATGAATCTGACCAGGTATTGAATTCAACCTGAGTTCGTCTCCAAGAGTTGAGATACTACCAACTTGAGTTCAATCACCAGCACTTGAGTTCAACTGGAAGGAAGATTTTGCTTATGCTAAATATTCTAAAATTCTAATAACCCTTCAGAAGGAATGGATTCAGTGCAATTGAATCATTATTGGTCTTATCTCTTAATGATGCCAAGAACAGAGTAAAAGAACAAGAAGTCCTTTTCAAACCAGGAACAAGAATGACTGAATATGAGTCCTGTAAAAAGAATATGAATAAATATTTTTTTAAATGATGCTTTCTTATGACCATGATTAGTACACAAACAGGGTAGGGACACACTCTTAAATACTGTACACAGTCTGAACATATTACAGCAAAACTAACACAATGGAAAGTTGCTCCTGTAATATTTAAACAGTCACCCAATATTTGTTGAGAGAAATCATTTCCATGGCAATGAGCATCAAAGAGGTGAAAACATTTAAAGAGAATTTGTGGAGCTCTCCAGCTATTGCATTGCATGAAATAAAGAAATTATAAAAGGTTATTTGTAAAAGGTTTAATTCCCCATCATGGAGTCCAAGGTTTTGTTTACAGTCTGTTTGAAGGCGCAAAGGACTAAGAGCGAGGAATTCACTTATAACAAGTGGTTTCCCACTGATTGAAGTCCTTTAACTGATTGGACTTCAACTAGGTTTTCAATGTTTCAACTATGCTAGAAGCCAAGTTGGGGCCATTTTGTGTGATGCTGGGGTAAATATCTTCTTTTTCACTAAATGGCAATGAAAAAAAAATCCAGAAATCTTTCAAGAATGTCTATGATTATTTCTTCTTCTTCTTCTTCTTCTTCTTCTTCTTCTTCTTCTTCTTCTT